CCGCTCTACTCCAGAACAGCACTGTAAACAGAGAGCCGATTCAGTAAGGAACCCCTGAGCCCGAGTCCCACATCAGCAGGAACTACCACAGGGAAATGAGGCAAGGAGAGCAAATGGCAGGACCTGCAGCATTCCGCCAGCCTCTCTCACCTGGTCTTTCGGATCATCCGGGAAGGAATCGGACCCAGGATCCTCTCCATCATGGCCAGATGCTCCCGGTTATCATGAGTCTGGAAGAGACACAGATTGGCCCAGCTCATAAAGGGATGGCATGAAGCAGACTCGGATCCCTGAGATTCTCCAGCTCACTGGTGCTAGGATGTCTCAGCCTCTTACTGCAGCCACAGAATGAGTGTGGTTCCTGGCTGCCAGCCAATGCCCAGCACACCACTGACTGCAGCACCAGAGGACACCAATGATAGGGAGAACCCACTCCCAGGCGTGGATGTCCCAACACAATAGTGGGAGAGTGCCAGATTTGACTCCATCAGTTTGAAGCTGATGTGGTTGTGGAACAAGGACGCGAGTCTCACCTGGAACAGGGTGAAGCCCACATAATACTCGAAGACAATGCAGCCGATGCTCCACACGTCACAGGGCTGGGTCCAGCCGAGTTCTAAGAAGCAGAGGGGTTATTACCAGAGGGAAAGAGCATGATCTGCAAACCTCCTTTTCTATAAGCTGCTGCCAAAGGAAACTTTTGCCTCAACTGACACTCAGCGTGCTCACAGCCTGTACTGAAGCCAGTGCTCTGAGCTGTGCATCTGCTGGCACTTGTAGAAACATGGCATGGCAGGGAGGCAAATAGCCCATAGCTCAGTGAGCAGAGCCCATGGTGCCTACTCAGTGTGATCCCTGGGAACGTAGGGGCCAGCGTCCTGCAGCCCAGCATGCAGAGCCAGTGGTACATACCCAGTAGGACCTCTGGGGCTCGGTAGTGCCTGGTGGAGACAATGGTGCTGTGATGCTCATGATCAAACGTTGCACTGCCAAAATCAACCACTCTGATGGCCGTGCTCTTCACGCTCCGCTCATCTCGCTTCTTGGAGAGAGGGAGAGAGAAGGGACCAGTTACACAGGACTTTCACCAGGCAGCCTCAGCCCCTTGCACAGCAGGGCACCGCAGAAATGGATCGCTTTGGAGGAGCATCACTTGTCCTTCCACTCCTGCCCACCCACAAGTGCCAAGGCTGCTCTCACCAGCTCTCGGAGCACCCTGGGGCCACTGCTGTCTGTTTACAGAAGATGCAGGCAACTCCTGTGATGACTGGGCCCCGAACAGACACAGGAACCCTATCAGTCCCATCCCAACCATCCCCCAGGGGCAGGAGAACGACACTGCAGAATCGTTCCCTACAGCACAATTCACTAGTGCTCCCACCAGGAAAACGGGTGCCCCCCACCCCTTCCTATCTGATTGTAGGGCCAGAGGAGGCCAGAACACCTCACAGGAGGCACTTAAGGTGAGGGCAGCCCCTTTACCTTTTCCAGATTATAGGTGAGTTCATAATCCGAGTTCACAAAGAGGATGTTCTCGGGTTTGAGGTCCGTGTGAGTGAGTTTATTGTCATGTAGAACTGGGGAGGAAAACATGATCAGAGTCAGATTCCATTAAACCCAGCTGACACCGACACTAGTTTGCAGTGGTCAGTGAATGTGGTTTACATTACAGACACTGCTCCAGCCCAGGGTGCGGGGAACTGGAGCTGATGGACTCCACACACAGAGCTGTGGGACACAGGAAGAGAGGGTACCCAGATCTGTGGCACCTCTCTGTCCCCATCCCACATGATTACTGCTCTTGCAGAGACGGGTAAAGGAGGGTGGGTTCACCCAAATGCCCCGTTTTCCTTCTCCTGGTGGGCAGGAAGGTCTTGGCCTTGGAATCTGCAGAAGGGAGCCCCTTCTAGTGATGGGGTGCCCTGGGCCTATCAGATGCAGAGCTGGCACAGGTGGGGCCCAAAGATCCTCCCGCCCCATCCTGTCAGGGAGGGGAGCGGCTGCCACTCACATTTCACAGCCTGGCACACCTGGTAAGCCATGTGCCGCACTTGGTGGATGGGGTAGGGCAGGTAGTTGTTGTCCTTCAGAAAATCAAAGGTGCTGAGCCCCAGCAGCTCAAAGGAGATGCACATGTGGCCGTGGTAATCGAACCAGTCAAACATCTGCACACACAGGCTGAGAGGAGACACTTCTGTTAGAGATGGTCCTAGTCCTCCCCGGCCATTCCCCACCCCCTGCGGGGCACAGCGCAGCCGAGGCTGACCCCAACCCTACAATACTTCGAACAATGGACTCGGGACCCCAGTGTGGCACTGCCTCCCCACACCCTGCCATGGGCTGCCAGGCGGCTCCCTAGCAGCTGGAGGGCATAGGGGCTAGGATGACACTGCCTCCCTGGCCCCACCACAGCAAGACACTCACTTCTTATTCTCTGGATCCTTCTCATTGATTTTCTCCAGCACGTTAATCTCCAGCCGAGCAGCCTCTTTATATTTCTCCACGTTTTTTATGATTTTTAGGGCGACGCGTGCGCCCCCTCTGGGGAGAGGCAGGAAAAAAGCAAGGTCACGGTGGAGCTGAGCCCACGCCCTGGGGAAGGGGTGTCATGGACTAGCCAGATCCAGCAGAGATTTTGGTTGGCTGGACAGTGCAGGCTGAGATGGTGGGTTTATTCCACTACAAACAATCACAAGACCCACCATCGTATCCCACACCATATGGGATCAGCACTGGGTGCCTACTGATCCACACTGGATTTGAACTGGAATCCAGGAGGGAGAGGGCTCATCTCCCCGCAAAAGCTCCAGCCTTTACACACACATTCAGCTGGTTGCCCGCCCATTGCGTGAGCCCAGTCAGCACGCTTACCTCCGGTGATCCACACACTGCACCACTCTGCCAAACGTGCCTTCCCCTAAGGTGCTAATAATCTCATCTGAGAGGGAGAGAGAGAGAGAAGGCAACATGAGGGAGTGAGCAGGACCTGGGTGCAGCGCATACACGAGGCAGAGGAGAATGCATTGCAACACCTAGCCTGCACACAGCTTGAGACACCAGTGCAGCAGAATGCTGACACCGGCTGCACAAGGCAACTGCCCTAGTTCCCTGCTATTTTGGTAACAATGCAAAATAGAAAATTAATATCTTTAACGAAAGGGGAGGAGGGAGGGAAGGGGGTTTCTCTTTAAAAACAATGAAAATAAAACAGAACAGAAAGATAAGACAGATCTGCGACTGCGATGGGAGCTTAACTAGAGAGCTAAATTATGTTACGATTCGGCTGTACATCTTTCTTGTAGCCAGTCGCCGACGCGATAGATCAGATGCCCCTCGTCGTCGTCCTCCACACTCTTGGCCCTTCTGCTGCTCTGTCGACTCCGCTGCTGGCCCAGGCAGACAGGGAATTCATCATTCACCAGCCAATCAGATTTTCAAACCAGCGCAGCAGCCAGCGTCACGCATTGGTTGGTTTGGAAATTCACATGGTTGTTTGAGGAGGGGTTGCAGGAGGAGATTCCCAGCCAATTCATACGGCACAGAGGAATATATAACGATAGGGATATTGCAAGGGAACATGTCAAGATACAACACACTAGCTCAGAAAAGAAAAAAACAGTTTGCTTTTCTTTGTAGCAAAAAAAGAAAAAAAAAAAAAAAAAAAAAAAACCAAACCTACAAACAGCCCCACCCGAACCAGTGCAAGAGCGAAGACCAGAACAGGGGCGAGCGGAGGGGATGGGGTAGTGAGAGGGAGGGGCCAGCTGCTCTCACTCCTCTGGGGCTTTGGAGAGGAGCAGTGCTGATGTTCAGGTCCTGGGTCAATGCCAAGAGAGCACACGGTCGCCAGCCAAGTGTTCGGTGACCACAGGGAAGGGCTCACATCAGCCACCAAGGAAAGGCAGCGGCAGACTGCGTGCTGGGAAATCCGTCACAAGCAAAGGGCTAAGCTGCCCCTGCACAGACATCCCCACCCTTTTCCAACAGCCCCCCACAATAGCCTTCCCCACCCCAACACAGAAGGAAGAACTAAGAGGTTTACAAAGCACAACGCTGCATCCAGAACCAGACAGACCTTGTGAGCAACAACCCCAGAGGCAGATCAGACACCTCTTCATCTGCCCTCCCCTAACAAAACTGGTCCTGGAGGGACTAACCCCCCAGAGAAAAGGAGCACAAAGTGGAATGGGCACAGCCTGGGATGAGGTCAGATGAGAGACTTGCACCAGAGAAGAGAGAGTTCCTGTTTTCAGTTCTTCTTCAGCTAAAGTAACCCCACACTTGGAAGCAAAGAGCCAGCAGCCTGGGGGCCCCATCTCCAGCCCAGGACTCCCATCCTAGTCCTGGAACAGCCCTGAACATGCGGCCAGGACACCAAGTGGAGACAGAGTATCTTGGGCCTAAAGAAAATGGAAGGCAAGCAGCAGCGTAGGCAAGAGGAAGAAGGCTGGGGACCCTACGCTGGAAAGAGCCTGCTGCCTCCATCTGAACTGATCGGTCCACATGCCAAACTGGTTTGCCAGAGCCCCCTGCACATCTTAAATAGCCATGGCCCACCCAACAGAAGCCAAGGGATGGCTCTACTGCTCAGACACAAGAGCTGAGCACCCCAGGGACAGGCCTCCTGCCACAGCACCACTCCAGTGGGGATACCAGGCACTGGGGCTGCAGGGGCCAGTCCTTCAGTCACAGTGATACTGAGCTCTCGGAGGCAGGGACCATCTTATCACTTCCATGCTGCCCAGCAGAGACCCTGCTGCTTGGTTGCAGCCCCTAAGCAGTACTGTGATACAAACAACACACACAACCACAACAACAGCACCCTACTGGGGGACAGGAGATGGGAACGACAGTCACAGCATCACCGCCTGGGGAAACAAGAGGTGGGGGCTGCGCAGACCCACATGGGTTGCACTGGGCCCCATGGGGCGCACAGCTCCTCTCCTGGCTTCTCCTACTGGAGGGTGGGTAACCCAAGAGGTGCCCGAAAGCTGCCTGGTCTCATCAGGGTCAGGGCAGCCGCTGCACTGGCGCATCAGGACGGCGGATGGGAGCAGCTGCCTGCGCTAGGTTTTTCTATGCATTTCACAAGCTGAGTCTGAGACTGTGTAAGAAAGTAAGTGAGGATCCTACTTACCAAGCGCGCAACCTGGGAGAGAAAGGTTACAGGGAAAGATCTGGAGTTACAGGGTACTCACCGATGAGGAGCGGCTAAAGGACCGGCTGCGGCGCCGTCTCCTCCTGTGTTTATTACGCCGGCTGCTTTTGCAGCTCCGGTAGCTGCCGTCATGGTCCCGGGAGCGCCGGTACTCATAAGAGTGGCGGTACTCAGTTTCGTAGTAGGCTTCCCCTCGTTCACGGCTGTAGTCGTTCCGCCTGTAGCTGTCACAGTAGCGCCTGTCATAGGCTCTCCTGTCCGAAGAGTGGTCGTCATAGCTGGGGTGGGGAAGAAGAGTAATTGGAACATGATTGGCCCCAGCTCTGTCTGAGCAGATGAAGGGTTTGGGGCTTCCCTGAGTTCAGGCTTTAGTGACTGCTCACATGCTCCCCTAGGAAGGACTAAAGCAGCTCTCCCCGCAGCCCCATTGGCAATAGTCCTCCAGACACCATCCTATACCTGCTGGCATCAGTGCACTTCCCCCCTGAGCGACTGGCAGGGGGCAGCCGGTCAGTCTTTCCTCCAAACTGGGGCACCAAACTTGCCAGGCCATTTGGCTGGCAGAAACTGAGCTGACTGCAGCTGCCTTCAGTGCAGTTACGGGGTGCAGCCAGGTCCCAGCCTGCCCCCAGCACTCACCTCCTAGAGCGAACGTGGTAACTGTCTTCCCGCCGGTGCCGCCGGTCACGCTCACTGCTGCTTGACCGGGACCGCGTCCGCCGCCTCTTGTGCTTGCGACTTCTATAGCGCTCGTGATAGCTGCCTCGGCTGCTGCGCTCCGACGAGCGGTACCTTCTGGAGTGAGGCATCTAGAGGAGAGGGCAGAACCAGCAGGTGACCTCCAGGGTGTCTGACAGCAGAGAAAGCCTGAGTGGAACCAACCCCACACGAAGCAGCAAGAATGAGGAATTGTCCAAAAGAGCAATGGGTCAGAAACCAACCTCCCCACATGCCCCTTTGGAAGAGGTGACAGACCCCCCCAGGAAGGCCCATCTCAGTCAGCAGACAGGAGCTGCCATTTCACCAGGCTAGCTGCTGCCCCAGGACACCTCCCAGAGACCCATCCGTCCCAAAGACAGCAACCCCAGCTGCTGCGAACCCGCGTACAAGCCCTGCTGACTGGGGCTACATCTGGACTGTGCGAAGGGCTGTTGGACCACACACTGAATTGGGATGAAGACTCCAACTTCAGACTTAGTCGCCAGAGAGCTCTCTGCCCTAAAGAGCTCCTGGGTAAGTATGACACCACAGAGTGTGATCAGAATGCATTGCAGGGCCCCAGGAGAGAGAGAGAGAGACAGGAAAGAAGCTAGCTGGTCTCTGAAAACATCTCAATTCGCACCGCAACCCATTTTGTACCGAAATATTGTTTTTCTGACCAGCTCTGAGGGGCGGAGTGTGCCGTGTGCGCACGCGGGGACACCACTTCACATGATTACGGGAGACTGCAGAGCAGGACTGGGCAGAGGCGACAAGGGCAGCAATAGAGAGAGCTCTGAAGAGAAGCCAGTGCAGACTCAGTTGGGTGTGACACTGATGGAGCAGTGAGAGGGGAAGGCAAAACTGTCAGCAGTGTTCTGAGCATGCTACATGGGAGAGGCAGACTGCAGGGTGTTACTGCAGCGCGTCAAGGGCAGGGATGAACTAGGCCCAGTGCAGGGTGTGGGGGAGCGAGGATGGAGAGGGTTCAGAATCCTCAACTCTATATGGGACATGAACATCCCCCTAGATCTGTTTTCACTTTGGTCTGTTTGTTTCCTCATTTACATTTCCCTTCCATCTCACTGCCCCCCCAGGAACGGATGCGGACAGCAGGGCTCAATTAAATGCCATACAGGGAAGAGGACATTGCTTTTGTCCAGCAGAATTCAGAGATACCCACGATGTAAAGGCTTCTCCCTCTCGGATTCCGACAGTTTCCATTTGGGACCTATACCCCCCATTTATCCAGCACATGGCATCGGCAGCCCCAGGAAGTTAAGCCTCTGGTCTCAGTTCTACATCAATGGAGAGTTCATCAAAAACACCCCCAGCCTCTCCTACTATCTCTAGTCAGAGCCTCTCTGAGTGAAGGCAGCTCAGGGTGAGGTTCATGGTGCAGCTGGAGGGAGTTCTCTCAAATTCTGCCTGCACAGGGATAGGTTGCAAAAGTTACAGGAACTCACTAAGCCCCTCAGTGATCTCTGGAAGGGACAAAGCCCCAGGGACATGTCAGTGAGGGGTCCGGGTGCTGCAGGCTGGAGAGTTGAAGAATACAAGCAAGTCTGGGAATCACAACGGTTTTTTGGTTCTGGGCACCCAGGGCAAGGTCAGTCATGTCCTCAGAGGAGCAGGGCCAGGACGAGCCACCTCCATACCAACATGGACAAGCACTTTGCTCCCATCAAGGGAGCTTGATTCTATCAGCTGAACTCAACAGTAGAAGGAAACTTTCCACACAAGGAAAGGCGAGGATGCCTGGTCTGCTCACCCATGTCTCTGAACTGGGCGGGGGGTGGGGTGGGGGGGGAAGATGACTATCCAAGTGTATCAAGGGACCTCTGTGTTGCAGCACAGAGCCCTAGCCTGGTACACATAGACTCTCTGGTGGCAGGATCCATGCTGCTCTCTCCTTAGCAGAGTGCCTTTTCCCAGCAGAAGGGTCTGTACTACTCCCCATCCCCTTCGGCCACTGCTATTCTAGTGGCAGCATCTGTACTTTCCACTCCCAATCAGTCCTTCAACAGCCAACATACTCTGGAGCCCCGCCCCTTCCAAGACCCAGAAAAGCAAAGCCACCTGGGAGAGGAAGGAGGCAGGCGAATGAGAGCTCTGGGTGCTGCTGGCATCTGGCCCAAATGCCTAGTGGAAGCAGGCAAGCGCCAAGGGGAACCGTCTCGGGATATTGGCGTGCAATACAGCAGCAAGCAGGTCTTGTGAACAGGCCCCCTAGGACTTGTACAGCAGGCAATCACATGCCCCTTTGGGCACGCAGACACATTCCCAGGGTAGACCAATTAAAATGCTAACACTGGGCACTTCTCTGATGCCTTCTTTGCTCACTGGCTCTCAAAGTACCTCACAAATATTTGCTAACTCAATCTTGCATGTCCCCACCCCCCAAATGCAGGCAATAATCATCTCCATTTCACAGACAGGGGAACTGGAGCAGGAGGAATGAAATGCCTTAAGTGGATTGTACAGCAACTGAGAGGCAGAACCCAGGAGTTCCAATTCTCAGTCCCCTCTTCTCTTGCCACCAGACTGCACTCCTTCCCAGAGCCAGGAAGACAGCCATGCCCCATGCCCCCCCCCACACACTCTTGCTAGCACCTCTAGATAACTCTGGCTCTGAAATATTAACTAGTAATTAATTGCTGCTGCCTGGTCTCCTCTGTCAGCATGTGAAATTAGAGCTCCCATCACCCACTACTGCTCACTCACATAACTTATTCATCCCAAGATTCACTGGTACACCTGGCTCATTTCTTGTACTTGCAACTTCACTGATATTGAAAGCATGTGCACAGAGACATAAAATGGCTTCTGGTCAAAGGTGGTGGAGTTGCCTCCTTATGAGTAAGTAAGCTAAGATATGGAGGGCAAAGCCAGGCCTCCCTGGGCAACCCACGGCTCCCGCCCTGCTGGGTAGCTTGGACTGCAAACAAACACTTCAGGCTCTGAAGCCAGGACAGGAGACACATTTCTCATCTTTAATTAGAAATCAGCATTTCTGAGTTTCATCCTGGCAGCTATTCAGATGTCAAGTGATGCTCATTACAGGAAACCCAATGCAAGACCAGCATTACTGCTGGCTCACAAACCACAGCATGGTCACTGTGGAGCAGTGGGGCTTCCTGGGAAAATGGCAGCAGCCAGCAGAAGCTGTAAAGCGGGTGTCACTAAGCAAGGTGCTGCTCTCAGGAACTGATACCGATTTTGAGCTAGCACGTCACATTCCCACTCACTGTGCAGTTATAAAAACCAGCAGAGAGACTGAAATGGAAACAGCAACCAGCTGCTGCTGATAGCGGTCCCTTCAGCGATCAAAGCCACCACTGTGAGCATTTATACGGGGCTTTTCAAACACAACTGAATTAATCCAGACACCCCAGCAGACAGGAAAATGTCATGATTCCCATCTACAGACAGACAAACTGAGGCACGGGGGAAGGAGATTGCCATGGGCACAAAACGAGAGCTAAAATTAGAGCCTCACAATCCTAGCTCCCAGACCTCTGCTCTGATCCCACCCCTTAGCCCTGCTCCCAGCCAGCAGTGAGCTCTGCTCAGTGCCCGACCTGGCCCTGGAAGCCCTTCGCTCTGGATCAGGCTGCAGACCGACCCAGATCATATGAACACTGAGCAGCCAGCAGGGAGGTAAAGCTGCTGGGTGTGTGTGTGCCACTCGGACAAGGTGGGCTGCTCCTAGAGACAGACCATAGGAAGCACCAGCCCTGGGATCCCAATATTTTCAGCCCTGGCACCGGAGAAGGAGAAATGTGGCCCCACCGCCTGCTCCTGTCTGGAGACAGCAAGACATCAACAGCAATGCCTGCTAGAGACAACCACCCGAATCTCCTTGCAGAGCTGCCAGACCCCCCTCAGCTGCCAGACCCCCCT